CGTCTGGGCCTCCCAAAGTGCTGGGATTACAGGCATGAGCCACTGCACCCGGCCCATTATGTATTTTAAAAACACAATCTATTTTTAGTTCCAGAAAGCATTTTTCATACTATAATTCAGTCTCTTATGTTATGATTTTCTTTTTGAACTGAGATATTTTCTGTTTCTTTAGCAGTTTTATTTCACTGAAAACTACTATTCTGGGTATTCTGTTTATTTTTTCTGTGTCTGGATATTGGGTCCTCTTAGCTGTACTACCATTTTTCTTTGTTTCCTCATAGCACCGTTCACCCTTATGTAGCTTTTTTTTTTTGAGACAGTCTCGCTCTGTCACCAGGATAGTTTAAACAATGCCAGCGTTGCCAGCAGTAGTAAGTTATCATATCAGATATACCAGTCACTGAATCTATTTTGGGACTTGATGAAGTCTCCGAGGTCTCCTCACTTCCACACCTCAAGGATAGGAAATACTTACCTTGCCTGTTGAGCCACCCCATTGAGTCCTCAGATCTCCATGGTCAAAGCCCTCTCCAGGAACTTCTGAGTATCTGTTCTTTCTCAAGTTCTCTCCCCTGGCTCCATTCTGTCCTCTAGCTCAGAGAGAACAGTCTTTCACAAGCTTTTGAAGTTCCTTCCCTTAAAGAATCAAGTCCTACTCCTTCCTTCCTAGTCCTACCTGCCCACCACCGTAGCAGCTGCTCCAATCAGGGGAACGGAAGGGACAGCAGGGACATGACTTCCAGTAGTCATCTTCCTAGAAACCCCCTCTGCCGGCAAATTCAGTGAAAAAGATTCCAATTTGCCATCAGTAGAAGTGATTTTTCTTTGTTTTTGTGGTTTTTTCCCCAAGACGGAGTCTCACTGTCTCCCAGGCTGGAGTGCAGTGGCGCGATCTCGGCTCACTGCAAGCTCAGTCTCCCAGTTTCACGCCATTCTCCTGCCTCAGCCTCCCGAGCAGCTGGGACTACAGGCACCCGCCACCATGCCCGGCTATTTTTTGTATTTTTAGTAGAGACGGGGTTTCACCGTGTTAGCCAGGATGGTCTCAATCTCCTGACCTTGTGATCCGCCCGCCTTCGTCTCCCAAAGTGCTGGGATTACAGGCGTGAGCCACCGCGCCCGGCCTAGAAGTGTTTTAAAAAAATGTAATGAGGCTGGCGCAGTGGCTCATGCCTGTAATCCCAGCACTTTGGGAGGCCGAGGAGGCTGTATCACTTGAGGCAAGAAGTTCAAGTCCAGCCTGGCAAACGTGGCAAAACCCCCTTTCTACTAAAAAAAAATACAAAAAAATTTTTTTAAATGTAATGAAGAGGCCGGGCACAGTGGCTCACACCTGTAATCCCAGCACTTTGGGAGGCCGAGGCTGGCAGATCACGAGGTCAAGGGATTGAGACCAGCTGCTTGGGAGGCTGAGGCACAAGAACTGCTGGAACCCGGGAGGCAGAGGTTGCAGTGAGCCGAGATCACACCACTGCACTCCACCCTGGATCAAAAAAATAATAAGTGTCAGGGACAATACATGAAAATCTAACAAATGAAGTTTTTAAAAATACATACCTGTTTTAGGCCATAATGCATTGACTGCAATTTCACCTTTAAATTCTTCTGCCATTCCAAGCACATACATAGACATACCATACTTAGCAATGGTATAAGCTGAAAGAAGCACAAAAAATAATAATCTAATTATAAAAGAAATTAATTTGATTAACTTGTGAGTAGAAATAACCAATTTTTCTATTACTATTTTCTTCCCGATACATGTGTGTATGTATGTATATACATATATATGTGTATATATGTGTGTATACATATATGTATATACATACATACAACATATCCACACACAGATATATATCAGGAAGAAAACAGTAATACACACATGTATACAGACACACATACATATATACATATGTATACACATATTCTTTTTTTTTTTTGAGACAAGGCCTCACTCTATCACTTGGGCTGGAGTGCAGTGGTGTAATCATGACTCACTGCAGCCTCTACCTCCTGGGCTCAAGCGACCCTCCCACCTCAGCCTCCCAAGTAGCTGGGACTATGGGCACGTGCCACCAAGCCTGACTAATTTTTCAATTTGTTGTAGAGACAGGGCTTTGCCATGTTGCCTAGCCTGGTCTTGAACTCCTGGGCTCAAGCAATCCACCTGCCTTGGTCTCCCAAAGTGCTGGGATTACAGGTATGAGCCACCACACTCAACCTCCCTGATATATTTTTGAGAATTCTTTTCAATAATATAAAATATAACTTTTAAATGTACTATTTTCTAAAGAACAGTTTTTATAGAAGTGAACAGAGATGAAATCGTTTTATATATTTCCCTCCTAATATTTGATTAAAATAAAAGTGACAGTAATAAACTTTCATTTTTCTTAATACTATAAGGGTAAATTACATTATTATTTCTTAATATGTTATACCTTTTTTTTTTTTTTTTTCGAGACGCAGTTTCACTCTGTTGCCCAGGCTAGAGCACAGTGGTGTGATCTTGGCTCACTGCAAACTCCACCTCCCTGGTTCAAGTGATTCTTGTGCCTCAGCCTCTGAGTAGCTGGGATTACAGGTGTGTGCCACCATGCCCAGCTAATTTTTGTATTTTTAGTAGAGATGGAGCTTCACTATGTTGGCCAGGCTGGTCTCAAACTCCTGGCCTCAAGTGATCTGCCTGCCTTGGCTTCCCAAAGTGCTGGGATTACAGATCTGAACCACCATGTCTGGACTCTTTTTTTTTTTTTTAAGTATGAAAGTGTTTATTTAAAGTGAAACTGCTGCTAGTAAAACAATCATTACAAAAGGCTGCAAATGCATTTAACCTAGTCAATTAAAGCGGAACAACTTTCAGTTTTGCTCTGTGGGTTCCCATTCCAAGTGCCTTTCCAAATGTTAGTGAATTGTGCTGAAATAAAAACTAAGTGTTTGATACAACTATTTTAAAGGAGGCACCTATACGTAAATCTTGTTGCTTAGCATATTTACCTTAAACCATTGGTATGCTATGAAAGGTAATAG